AATTAAATTGTAAAAATAAAAAATCATATCAATAAAAAATTAAGATCAGGTCTCACTCTTTAAAAAAAAAAAAAAAAATTAAATTAGCATATAGATTCCAAGATACTTAAGATTAAAAATATAAATATAAAAATCTGTAAATTAGTAGTTATATAAAGTATTATTAAAAGAGTATACCAACTTAGTGAAGTTAGTAACTTGTTGCATACCTAGTAGCAGAACAAGAGTTTGAATCCTACTGGTGACTAAATTCAAATTTTACAGAATATATTATAGCAAACTGTATATAATCTGATAAATCATCAGATTTGTAGCTTTGGTTATATCAGCTTGTACTGAGAGGCTGAAGAATATTTAATGTGATATATAAGTAACACAAAATCTAAGTGAAGCAGCTAGATAAATTTAAGAGCTGAGTACACAGAAGCCCACTTGGCAAGTCCTAAATAGAAAGATAGTGCTGACTTTCGATGGTGTTATGTAAAGGATTATTAACCAAAAAACCAAAAAAACCAGACAAAACTGAGATGTTTAGCAAGGTACTATATCAACCAAACCACCAGTATATACCAAAGGAAGAGTCCACCCTTCCAGGCTATCTGGATTGGGAGCTTGGAAACCTGAAAAAATAGTAGATGATCTATATAGTAGATGCTGATGTTTGGATGAACTTTATAAAGGCAGAAATAGATAATAGTAGTGGTTTCAGCTCACAAGTACTTGTTCTCAGACTTGGTATAAATTACTGAAGTCTAGATTAGCCAGATTGTGAGTATGAAAAACTTTAGCAGGTTTATCTTGAGGACAAAAGGTTCTCTATAAAGTATAAATTTGCCTTAAAGTCCTAAGTTAGAAATCTGAAAATAAGAAAATACTAATGTATTCTTGCTTAGTTAGAAGATTAATATATATAGGTACAGAAGGTTTAAATAGATAACCTTTTAATCAGGTTATAGGTGTGGCAAATAGTGTAGTCTCTATGATATAATACTGATATGCAGACTACTTAAATAGGCAACTAAAAGTTGTATGTATAGCTAATTGTATTCTCTAAATATGTATATGGTATGGTGTATACCATACTATAAAAGTTAACAATAATTGAATAAAAGGACAGTGACTAAGAGATCACCTTAAAACCAAAAAAAAAATAAAAAATACTATATATATATTTTTTTTAAATAATTAAATTTTGATTTTTACTTAAAATAACTGATAGTAATCATCATCAGTATATAATTATACAATAATGATAAACTAAAAAAATATTTCATTTTATTTACTTTAGAGTTAGAGTAAGGTCTAGAATTTTAGCAAGGTGTTAGATATATGCAAAATTTAGCAAGGAATTTTTTTTGTTAGAACATTGAAGGTAGTTTCATAGGCGAATTTTTGAGATAATTAGCATTTTTTTAAAAAAATCTTTATTTTAGTTACACAAATTGATTATATATCAGTGATGATCAGTGCTGGTTATAATTAGTAAAATTCTTAAATTTTAATGATTTTTTTATAAAAATTTACATATAAAATTTAGTATGTCAACTTATTTGATTTATAAGTAACAGCATAGAAACCCCTGTATAAGGACATGTCCTGTAACTGTTACACAACACTATTAGCCTTTTAATAATGCAAAAATATTTTTGTTTTTGATTTTTAGATTTTATAACATCAAATTATTCTAATTAAGTTTACTTAGTTAATGGCAACCAAGATAAAAAATAAATATATACCGTAATAAAACTCTGAAAATAAGCACCACTTTTTTGAAAACAGACATCATGCTGATTCTGCGATTAATCAATCTTGTGATCACCGGATAACACAATTTACCGTGGGTACTTAATTAAATAAGTAAAAAATTTAAATCATTATTGTTTTATAATAATTGTCGCGGCTGATGCTGGAAACGGCTGAAGCTGGAAATCAGGGACCCTGATTTAAAAATATAAACCCTGCCAAAATCCACTTATACTCTTTCATTATAAAAACTAACCCTAAATCCTAATCTAACCATGAAAAAAAAGCTAAAAAAATGCACCCCAAAAAATTTTGAAAATTTCATAATAAAATATTTAAAATTTCCAGCTTCAGCCGTTTCCAGCTTCAGCCGCAACAATAAATAATATATATATTATTAACTAATTACACTCGCTCTTTTCAAAAACAACAACAGTTAAACGAATTCATCAAAAACTACCTAATAAATGAATTTTTCGGGAAAAGTATGAATCATCGTATTCCAATATACGATATCGTTTATCATAAACCCCAATAACAAGGTAGTAAAAATTTGGAGTACAAATAAGCAAAAAAATAAAGGCAAGATTCTTTTGAAGTACGAATTTAACAATAAATTACCAAGAAATTTTAAAAAAATAACGACCAACTTAAAGAGAATAACGATAAAGAAAACGAATAAATCGGGATTTACAGACACAAACATGTACCAGCACGTTGGTTTATATGTGACAAGCAATGAGCACCCGACAAAAAAAATGATAAGGAGCAAAAAATTGAATAAACGAAAAAGACACTCGACGAAAGTACTCTAATGCTGAATGTTCAAAATCAATAATAATAGGCAACCAAGTAAATAAAAAATAGCAGCATTTACAGCAATGATGCAAAGAAGTATAGAAGACATTTTGGAAAATAACTCAAAGACAAGCAACGATAATAAATTCGATAACACAAATGGCCAAAGCGAACCTTTATAAAGATTCGTAACATAAGCAAACTAAGTCAATTATCATAATAACGCAAATTATCACACAACATACTAACCAAAACTCATCTGACTCCCTAACATACAACGATACCCTAGGCGAAACCTTATTGACAAACTACGACATTAGCACGACCACCAAAATCACAATAACTCGTCCTCCAAAAACTGCTAGAACATCAACCCACATTATAACAAGTAAAACGTTTGGAAATCCAATGACTTCTACAGCCCATCACCCAACAATGCTATTCACTATTCCCGAATTTAACAAAATGCCAACAGAGCATAAGTACAAATTCGCTTCTATAACGATTTGGCTTAGAACAACTCTAACAATTATTTGACACTTACACAGACACCGAACAAAATAACGCACTATAATCGCCTAAAGATAACAACCTTTATAAATTCCACAAAATAATATATATATATGGGCGTAAATTTAGATTCTCACAGTAAAGAAACCTAAAAAACATAAAACCATACAAACCCAATCAAAAAACACACCTTAAAACCAATAAAACAATATAATTCAAACAACAGTACCACTGTCAAAAAAACTACAACTTAAACACATCTCACAATCCTCGAATCTCACTAATGCAAGAAAAAAATCCTATTATCAGCAAGACACACGCCTACTCACAATCAACTAAACAAAAGAACATCGCAAACGAAAATTCGAAACAAAACAGACAATGACGCTAATCAAAACCAACAATAATACGAATACTTTTATAACCATTTTATTTTTCATTTTTACTCATTTTCTTTTTTCTAACATACAACTTCTTTACTTCATCCCGCAGGATTAACAAATGTGCACAAACGCAATTAATACAAAACCTAAAAGCTCACAGGAAACCATTAAACCCGTATACTAAAAAACCATAACACCAAACCCCAGCATAATACCAAGAAAAAAAAAAAAATCAAAAGCATAAACAAATTATAAGAAATAACAATAAAAACCAACATATACATCGCATCATCAAAATTTAAATAAAACAAATCTTTAACCAGTAAAAATACCATAATAGACTCTCTAATGTATGTGCAACTAATAAAGAAAAGCCTTATCACAAAACCTAATAACCGCGAATAACAATAGCTACAACAAAGATTCAACTAAAGAACTCTTCAAATATATTCGAAACAGACCTGGCTCAGTAAATTACAGCCAAACTAAAAGAAAATAAAGCAACCCCAACGCATTCCCATTATTTTCAAACATATCGATCGGACTAAAGCTTAACATTATAAATCGAACATAAATCAACCTTTATTATTAACAAACCAACCACCATAACCCTCAAAAAAACAATATTATATTTCTATAGCATTAAAAAAAATAAATAATTTTGCTTCACCTGATCTCGAAACCTGATTGGCCAATACGATAAAAAAAAACTCCCAGCGCATGGGCAGGCGCACAACTTGTTTTACTTAACGTTAAAAAAAAAAAGGCATTGCACTGCATGGTGTAACATTTCCTGTGAATCGGAGTAAATGTTCCGACAGATTGAATTTAATATGATTATGTCCGATGGTAACTTTGGAGAAAAGCGATATCGATATTATTTCATAAAAATCTTATAAAATCTTTAAAATAACAAAATTTTCTTATACACATCATCTATCACGGCTTCATAATGAAATGTTCTAAATGTCAAATGACTAAACTCTCGAAAGAATTTCCCCTAGATACGATTACCGAAAAATGCACACATGTTCCAACTTGGTGTTTAAAGGTAATATTGATAATTAAAATTTAAACGTTTAATAATATCGAAATGTAAATCATGATAAATCAAATTCCGAATCTTATTGATTTAATGATTTTGAAATGTCTTGGATACATTGGCAACTCAGTGTTTAATATTCCATCTGCAAAGAGGAAATACGCCTAATGAAACAAGGTGTCCAGAATGCCCAGCTCAACTAAGTCAAAGCGAAATAAATGGATTTAAAATCGCATGGGAAAAAGCACCATTCAAAATAGACATTGAAAGTTTATTTAAAAATTCACGTGCAAAGAATACAGATAATAATAATTTATTGAACGATCCAGCAACTCAAAAAGGAGAATTTTTTGTTGTTTTGCTAAGTGGGGATAAGTATTCACTGAAACTTGAAGAGATACAATCAGTTAGAGCTTTGAAAGCAGAATTGACCAAAAGGATAAAAGTTGACGGTTCGAAACAAAAATTATTACATAAAGGAGTTGAATTGCAAGTTAGTATCTATTTAAATATCAATTACTTTATAAATGACCTTAAAGCCATTTTTTTAAATAAATATAGGTCCGTCAACAAAATGGACAAGGAGAAAATAAACTTTCTACTTATGGAATTAGAGCTGGTGAACACATTCAACTTATCGTTACGATGTATGCTATATCCAGAGATGAAACTATTAGCAATTTGTCATTTGATCTGTATTGGGGGTATCCAATGAGGGGAAAAGATTATCTTGATGGAACTTGTTTATTATATAGCGGAAAAGATTTTTGGAAGAAATATGATTATAAGGAAAGATTCGATCCAATTCATCCGTATATAAAACACTCAGGTGATGTCATGGATGATCCTAATAGACGAGGTATGTATTCAGAACACTTATTTAGTTGTTCGAAATATTTATGTTATAATGAATTAAAATTCTTGCATTGTATCTTGGCATAGGTCATCATCGAATAACGATCAAATTAGATAAGCTTCCAGATGTGGTTAACAAGCTCTACTTTGTTCTCAGTGCTTGGAAATGTCCGCATATTGGCGATTTTATAGCACCAAGTTTTAAATTGTACGATGAAGAGTCATCTGATAAGAAACAATTATGTAATTATACAATCCAAACTGCTGCTAATTCCCAGGCGGTAATAATGTGTGCTGTTATAAAGAAAGATGATGGTTCTTGGGACGTTCTGGAAGTTGGTCGTGTTTCTAACGGCAATGCTAAAGATTATAGTCCTATTAAACGAGCAATTCTGGAATTAAACTTAGATAATATGTATTAAATTTTATAATTTTATTGAACCTATTTGTTTTAATGCTTCTTTTATAAGTCTTTATTGTCCGGAGCGGAGTGGAGAACTTAATTTAGTCACAAAGGTTAAGTAGATGCTATTTGACAGCGGGAAGGTAAATTTCCATTCAATTTCTTCATTTCATTGTATATTTAGAATGCTAACATCATCGAGATAGTCTGCTTGTTCAGATATCTTCCAGTATTTTTAAACACCATTATTTAACGAGTCAGCATTACATTATTATTAACGATTATTAAAGCCTTTAATTAAAGCTTTAAATATAACTTATCGCCTAGTACATTCCTGATAGCGAAATATAATACAGCTAACTCGAAAGAACTTTAAATGTTTAATAAAAAACCATAAATGCATGGTATAAATATACAGATTATCAAGATTATCAGCAAAGGGACACTTCAAGAACAAGTGATAATTACGTCACGTGAAATAATGCAATGGCATAATTTGTTTACTAGCACTAACAAATCGGCCTAAGCTATACTATTACCCTAACACTAACTTTAACTCAGGTCGAGTATTTGATCATTTGATGTGATTATCATGAAGATATTACTGGGTTCCTTGTTCTTGAAACTTCTCCAGCAAAGTAACGGTAATACTGAATTATCACTTACTGCTATAATTCCTGGAACACCTGATAAAAATTGACCGAATGATTTTTCGGCCGTTCCGATTAAGTCATTGATTTCGGATCTAAATTACGTTACATACATATACATTGTAATTTGATTATGTATATATGTTTTCGCACAAACTAAGCATACTAAACATGTTGGGCAAGTGTTCAAATGAAAATTTAATAATATCAAACATATACGGGTAGAAATTTGCATATAAGTTCTGGCATATAATATTTGTATGTAAATAACGGCCAAAAATTTTGTAGAGCTAACATATAAGTCTAGTAGTGCTGGTAAAACTTTCGCCTATTTAATTGCTAATCTGTAATGTAAAAGTTACGTACGTACGTACTTACGCACATACGTACAATTTTGTGTTTTTATTAAACTTAATCGAATCGGCTGGAGTACCATTCGGTCAATTTTTATCAGGTGTTCCAGAAATTATGAAAATAGCAGTAATGGCTGCATATAAATTTTAAAGCCGGATAAACAAGCTATTAATGCTTAGCATTCTTAGTAGAGATTGTACCCGTCGAGAAAAGTTTTACCCGGGTATTATCAAATTACGCGGTTATCCGGGTAATTTATTATACACTCCCCTGACTCACCGGATTTTTCAAAATTGATGATGATCATCCGTATGACTCATTGTTGATAAAAAATTATTTTTTCTTAAAAATTACTATACTTGCTCCAAAAAAATTTTTTTTATGGTTTTATTCGAACCCACTAGTGTGTCTATTTTTTTTTTTTTTTTTTTACTATGAAACAAAGGAAGCAGCTTAATGGGTATCCTATATAGTATTAAATTATGTAAATAAAATTTATATTTGTAGTTGCTAAATAAAAAAATTGTGACCTAAATTAATATATAGTTTATTAAGAATTCACAAATCAAAAACTTGCAAAAAAAATGATTGTCATATTGTTACTAAAAAAATCTAGTGATTTATGCTAGGGGTAGGGTTGGGGACATAGTGGCATAGGCATGCCCTGGAGGGCATGCTCTTAGAGCATGCCTATGGGCATGCCAAAAAGCAAAAGGCATACCAAGTCACATGATACAAACAGCCAATTCTATTGGCCAAAAATCAAATATTCTATTTTATATATACAGTCGGCCCTTCTTAAATGCATTCCTCCTAAGTGCATGATTTTCTTAAACATATATTAATTTTCTGGCCCAGATATATACTAAACCTCTATAAATGCATTTTTTCTTATTGTTCTCTTAATGCAAGCCTCCAAAAGTTTGGTTCTGACAATATGCATTTAGAGAGGGTTGACTGTAATACTTTATATTAAATATACAAAAGAAATCTTCCAGATAATTACTCTTATAAGTATTATATAAGATCTCAAGTATGATTTTAAAATTTATATACAACATCTATTAAACTTTATAGAATACAGTTAAAATTTAAATTAAGAATCTAATATGTAATTTATTTTATATATATTAAAATAAAAACTTGAAATACTTATTGTTATTTATATTTTGTATAACTCTTAATACTTATAGTGTTTCTATATCACACTTAACAATTAACTAAATCTATAAAATCATCTGAAAAGCTGAAGCTATTTACTCATTTGAACTAAAGACTTTATAAAAACAAATCAGGCTCCAACTAACATTACATAATCCTGATATGAAACTAATTTGATACAGATATTTGGCACAAATAGAAGCCTTTTATAATACAAATCAGGTTCATATAGATGTTTAATATATATCAAAAATCAATAACAACTCTTTTTGCTGATTCTTAAATCCAAAATTGACAAAACAAATATTCAATGTTTATTCAAGAAACAGCCTAATTAACAACTTTTGAAAGACTAAGAAAAAAGGTTCAGCAAGTTAAAGAGCTATAATTTACTTAGAACAACAGTTAACGAAGCACTGAGTTGATACTAAGCAAAAGACTTGTGCAAAAATTTTTCCAAAATTTTTCAAAAAATTGTGAGATTGCTCTTATCCCAAAAATTCAAACAAAAACAACACGTGACTAAGATTCTTAGCAACAAACAAACAAATAAATAAACACGTACTTTTTAGAAATACGTAACAATACAACAAATCAGATAAAGTAAACAAAAGGAAAACTTTGTATATGCAAACTAAACAAAACAAATATGAATATATAGAAATTTCTAGAAACTAATGGAATCTGATAGAAGATTATTGGGAGTAGATGGTCTCTTTGAACTGGTGTATATGGCATTTGAAAAAGTACTTAGATATCTAAATAGTAGTGATTTAGTAAAAATTCTTCATACATCTCATCCATATGAACCAGATGAAATAGATGCTCTTGCTAGGGATCTTATAGTACAAGATCCAAACAAAATTACAGCATATGAAATGATTTTATATGGTCAAATCCGAGATGCACTCAGAAAAGCAGAGAATTATTTACAAGAAGACACAATTCAGCAATGGGCAGTTGGAGCTAGAATAGCAAGAATGAACCCATCATCAATAGAATACATTACAAGTATAAGTGAAAAAGAAATTAAAAAAGAAGAAAGTAAAATGGAAGGAATAAAAAAAGTTGGTCTGGTAGAGAAACCACAGTTATTTGATCTAAAAAAAAGAAGCTCTCCTGAAGAAGAAGTCAAAGCAAATAAAAATATAAATCAGATTGTCGAACAGATGCAAGACTTGAACATCAAAACTAAACAACAAGTATCGTTAGATTGTTATTTAATAGAAGAATTGCAAGCCACAATGCATGAAGCTCCTTTACAACTCCAAATGAACAACAAGAATGTCAAACCTATAAAAAATGCAGAAGAAGAGAATAATAAAGAAGACACAACAACAGGAGGAAAAAGAATTAAAAAAGACAAAGAAGCTCCAATCGAAAGCATTCTAAAAGACACAATCTTACAATACCAAAAAGAAACAAAAAACATCGAAGCACAGTTGAATAATATTCAGACAGAGGAGAGTAGTTTACAAGTATTTATAGCTACTTTAGAGCAAAGTATCTGGTTGCCAAAGAATAGATTATGTGAAGATGAGCAACTATTTTTAGCAAACATGCCAGTATACAGTCTTCCAGAAAGCTCAGCAGAAAAAAAAGCTGGGTACATTAAAAGAATTCTTGGTAAAAATAAACACATCAAGAAAGTAGAAGAAAAATTCAAGAACAGAAACCCTTGAGTAAAAGTAGCCTTCGACTGTAACTTTGGAAGAAACTCAGCAATCGAAAGAATTAAGAGTAGTGTTTTGACCTGGTGCGTCTTACCCGGGTCACCCGCGGGTGGGTGGGTCACCCGGGTTGAATTATAACAACCTGGGTAGCCAACCCATGGGTCAACCCGCAGGTCAACCTGGGTTGACCATGGGTTGACCCGTGGGTCATAGGTATGATTGGTTGATATAAATCAGTTAACTGAATAACTAATTTATATAGTTTAAAGTACTTTTTAGAAATGTAATGTTTCACTAACAAAAAATCATTGTAAAACCCATTTCTAGCTTCTATATTCACTGTGCAAAAATAATCATTAACCCAAGAACGTCGTTTAAAAGCGGATGTGTTTACTATTTATTGATAATTCTAGTTATATTAACCATATGTAAGTTCTAAATGCTGGATTGAGACGTTTATGTAAGATTTAACTTGAAGAATTCTATGCATATCATTTGTAATATCAATAAGCTTGTACTAATGTTCATATTTTATGTTATCTGAATATCATAGAGTTAAAACATTAGTAACTTTGGGTTAAGTAGTAGGTCGATAATATGTATGAATATATAAGTATTATCATTTCATTAATTATATGATAAAGTTCGTGTTACATCTTTAATAAAGGTCATGATAATAAAGATAAGATTGAATTATTCTAATTATTTTTTCAAAATATAATAATTTTGCTAATAATTTATTCTCATATTAAATTTTTGATCAATTTAATAAATATCAATTTACTACGTACGTACTAGTGTTTTGACCCGGGTAGGTTAGTGGATTCATAGGAAAACATTCATATGATTGGTTGATGTAAATCAATTGCCTGGATAACTTATTTATATAGTTTAAAGTATACCAATAACAAAAAATTATTGTAAAACCCATTTCAAGCTTCTATATTCACTGTACAAAAATAATTCAAAATAATCATTAAACCCTAGAACGTCATTTAGAAGCGGATGTTTTTACCATTTATTGATAATACTATATAGTTATATTAACAATATATAAGTTCTAAATGCTGGATTGAGATGTTACATGTAGAATTTAAATTAAAGAGTAGGTCAATAATATGTATGAATAAATATATTAGTATTATCGTTTCATTAATTATATGGCTAAAGGTCGTGCTACA